GGGAATCATGGTTTTGTGTGTGTGCGTGTGTGGATTTGGTTGTGCATGTGTTTTATCTATCTGTGTTTATAGGGATGTCCTTATGTTCATCAAGGCTGCATGTACTTTTGTGTGTATTTGTTTGTGTGTGTGTGCTGTTTGTTCATTCTCCCGTTCTAAGCAAGACACAACCGAGTCACCTGTCAAGCCTGGTGTGTCACAGAGAGGTGGGAAGCATGCCCAGACAAATCTACACACAGATACGCACGCACAAACACCCAAGTGCATTTATACACTTTCATTTACCGAATTCTTGATCTTGCCCTCTAACAGTTGTGACAAAATCAGAAAAGTCCTCATCTTTCTATGCCTATGACGACATTTGGCCCATCCAAGTCCATAAATAGACACGTGCACGGAGTAGCGCCCTGTGCTGCCTCTCCCACTCTGTGTCCCTGGCTAAATCAGCGTAGGTCTTGACCTTTAGAAATGCCAACTGTTCCGACACATCCCTCTAACTCCACATCTCTTTCCAACTCCACCTGTGAGGCTCCAACTCATCAACCCCCAGCCCACCTGTCAGCTCTGAGGGAGCCACCAATCAAACTCTCCCGCATCCCAGGGCTGAACCATCTGTCCTGTTCTGGAGGCTTGAGCCAGATAGTGTTTTCTGACCCTTGTCCTGATCCTGGGGTCTCAGGTAAAGGTTGACAGTAGGCCAAATCAGAGAACTAGATGATGAGAAAGTCTTTAAAGTCACAGCTACTTGATGCCACCTCTGAAGATGTACACAACATCTCGAGGGTGTTATATGTTACCAACGACACAGAGTCACGACTACAGTGTTCAAAGCCAGCAACTACTGCTGGGCTACATCCTACACTGCAGTACAGTATAAAAACAAGGGCAGGTGATGAAAGGAGGAGGCCCAAAGTCAGGAAGGAGGAAAAGGAAAGGAATACGAACAGGAAATATTGGGGAGGGTTGACTCTTTTTTTAAGCTGAGCAGAAAGGAGAAAAAAGGAGAGGGAAGAAGGTCAGGCTGACAAAGTGAAGGGTGAGAAGAAGGGGGGGAGACTGGGGGAGGAGGGTTGCTATGAACTCTTAAACCCAGTATGTCAGCCAAGACAGGAAACCCAATCTCCTTCATGGTTGAAAGAAAATACTGACTAATACTTTTGCCCCCTAGCCCCTTGGGCAGGATGGGGTGTCAGTTTTGCTAATTCTGGTCTATTTTGCTCCAATACAACCAAAAATATTTAGTGTATCAAAATGATGGCAAGGCTAGATGTGTTTCTAAAAGCAGTGGTGAGACAGTATGAGAACACTGACTGTGGCACAGTGTGTCTTAGCATAATATATATTTTTATAAGATCCACATTCAATTTCCTGCACAAACCCAAGAAAAATAATAATAATCGTTAGTGCAGTGGCAAAGCAAATGTAATAAGATCACGATAAGATGACCTCAGTCACGGCACATTTCCTCTCTGCTCCTCTTTTATAAATTGTGCGGATGAAATGAAAAAGCACCACGCCAGTGAGCGATGACACGGAAAGACGACGCCTTCCCCATGGAGCTTTAAAATGTATCTTTTGCCTTCATCATGACTTTGTTATTGTTAAACTGTTGTCAAAGGAATGTAAGATTCTGTAAGATTTCTCTGTCAGCTGGGGAAAAAATTCTTTG